AATGATATTTAAAATGAGACTTTATACCTTAAAATTAGGTTCACCCGAATCGAAGGATACAATATTATCTTCGTCTATATCGAATCATCCTCTACAACGATGGTATTGGATATATTCAAATAAAGCTTCCTTATGTAAAGATTGTATTATAACACCTAATTCATTATATTGTGAACGAAATTCACTCAATAAAAGTACTTATTCAATTACTGTTGAACATAGTGAAGAATTTCAATAAATATATTATTATCAACTTTGTTTGGATATGTAAACAAAAGTTCTTTATGATTATGAATTATATTTAGAATATATATTTTACATTGTTCTATAGTTTACATATTAAATGAATTTGTTTTAGTTTTCTGTTATGATAGAACTAATTTCTTGACCTTTTCATATTGTTGAACTTGTAGTTTCGAAAATTTTCTTACATCATGTTACTTCTAAATCTTTTAATTGTTGATCAACTTCATGAATAACATACTTAAAAGTTCACTCTTTGTATTACTTATCAATTTTTCATTTTTTTTTTTAAATATATTTTATCAGCATTTTCCTTAAATGCTCTTAATTGTATAGATTCTAATTTTGTCTCTTCATTTATTAATTGGCACGATTCTTAATCTGCTATTAGTCTTATAAAAAAAAGTTTATATCAGACTTGTAACCGGTAATGATAAATGGTAGGTTCAGTCTAAGATACTTCTTACCAGTCGGTACAGATTTTTTTCGAGTTTTTGCATTCTTTTTTTAGAAAAATCGATCATACAAATGTTTTTTTTTTTCGCAAATCAAACCATTTCTATTAAGTGAATATTCATCAAAATATGTTTAATATAATTTATCAACTTACTTCGATATCAAGTTGTCTTGTTGAAACAAAATGAAATCATTGTTCATCATTGTAATTTATCATATATTTATTCTCATTTTATATTATTTATAGCGTATCTTTCGCAGAGCCATAATAAGAGATAATAAAGTACAGGGTCGGAAAGAATATTATTCAAGGGGAGTAACGATATAATCCCGAATAGGAGGTATGATAAATTTTATACCAAATGAAAGCCCGTGAAAAATGGGGTTTATTGATGTTAAATAGTAAGGGTTATGTAAACCTTTTAATATCGAACTTAAGAAACTTTCAGAAATTTTATACATTTTTGGGAGTAGAAAAGGAAAGTGCTAGTAATTCAAAAATGGAGTAAAATGTTTTTCTT